TTGGTAAAGATGTGAATATACAACTTATTTTGTCTAGACATGTCTGATTGCAATCATTAAATAACACTTATCATTTGATGTTACATTACATGACAGACCGATACCTGGTAATATATGTTAAAAGTATAACACAACACAAGAAACTTCTAGTATATAGGTTAGCCAGGTATATAAAATAGTTTATTTCACAAAAGACTGTAATTTCTATTGTTTATACTAGTACTAGAATAACAATATTATACTCTCGATGTAAAACATGTCGCGTGTTTATAATGACGTAATTCCAGCGCACTGTTTTGGAATTAATCGTGTGTTTATAATGACATCATTTCGTCGTTGTGAGTTTAGCTGTAAATTAAAACTTATTAAAAAGTGCAGACTAGAAATATATTTTTTTTTAGAATTTATTTTACGGAGATTGATATGTAAAATACCTGTACAAAAAAAAAGAAAAAAACAAAACAGCGGCTGTTGTCACAGAATAAAATATCTTACTCAGGGATAACTATTTGGCTAAAACAAGGCATGGTCTCATTACGGCAACGCAAATTGACCTTCGAGCTAGAAATTTCAGTCTGTACTGGCAGCTGTTTTTGGAACTGTTTCGTTTTGTTTTTTCAACTGTTAAAATCTAAAACTATTTCTTACTTTTTTATATTATGATTTATTTCATGATCTGCTTAACTGGTGTGTAACAGTATTATTTATAATGTCCACAACTATTAAAAAACGATAACAACAAAAATAACACAAAAAAAAACAACAAAAAAAACAACAAAAAACAAAAAAAAAAACATGAAACTTGTTCGTTTTTTGAAAACTCATTTTTTCTTGGGGCTTGTTATAAAATGCCAATAAGATTGCCATTTTTTAAAATTCTTTTGCAATTAAATGACACGTGAAGATAAAAACGGATTCAAACGGTCGAACAGAAAAACAACGAAATAAAAAAGCAATAATAAACAGGCCTAAATAAATATTTTTCAATTTTGCATAATTTGTACATGTCATGTTTTAAAATGTCTTTTTTTAATAAAATTATTCATCTTACATATTACATAGAGTTGCAACTTCACTATTTAATAGAATAAGTTTAAAATTACATGTATATGCAATGATCCCCTGTCTTTTGTTACACAATTCAATGTCACCTATTAGCTATATCTGTTAATGCTGTTCCATATAAACGGGTATTTTCTTTGTTTTATGTACAAGACAAAGCACGTGAACAATCGTGCAATTGATTTAATGCACATTTATTCTCATCATTTTCATGGTGGTGTATTGTATAAAATAAAGTACTTTTGAAACCATTCAATCATTGTTACTAAAAATGGATAGTTCTGTTGATAAATAAGACGTTCAGGATGTATCATTTATACCAGTGTATGCATGATACTGTATCACAGTTTAACATATGAACAATCTTACATTTGTTAAAAACATTGCAATTGAGTTTTCGCTATCCAGGTGCTAACCAATTTGTATACTGAACATCTCAACACATGCATTGTGCCATATTTATGTGATTTATTTTCTAATTGCCCTCTGAACTTCATGTAGTATCGTTCTTTAGTACTCTGCAAGAGTATTTATGACGATTTATGACGTTTCTTATCAGCACAATGCCATCCATCGATACACATTAGTTCAATAAAACAAAACCTTTCAATATCAGTACATTTTCCACTATCAGAGATGACATGATCGTTATTTTTTACCTTTATATTTTCATTTTTTAAAAGCGACTCAATTGTATAATCTTAATATTTTTTGTTACGAAGTATGTCTTGTTAATTTCAATCTGTATACTACGTTAAATGTTCATGTATATCATGTATAAGAATTTTGATGTGTCATTGTGCCAATGTAGATTATATGTTCACAACGTGTATGTATTTTAATTAGTTTGATTAAAACTAACAGAAGTAAAGGAAAATATAATATTGATTTAATTATATTTTATCTCTATTTAAACTATTAACAGCAAGACATTTTTTTAAAAAGGAGCAACTTTAAACTTTTAAACTTTTGAATGGGAACATCCCCTGTTTATTGTATAATCAATTGCGTAAATTATGCAAAAAAAATTAAGACAACCGTATTCGTGTTGATATAGTTCAAAAGGTGTAAATGTAAATTGTGAGATAAACTGAAACCCGAATTATATTGCGTAATATTTAAGATGCAAACAGAATGTTGTTCATGGCTGTATAATCAACATAAAAAAGGATTGTAAGGCTATGAACAAAAATTGTTCATCGGTGATAGTAAACTTTAACACGTCATCTATTATATGAGTGAGTTTAATACTGAATTTATTGAATGAGTTGAACAAAATTATATTATAATATTATAAGTATAATATTATGTAATTCGAAGAGTTCAATAAGTTCAGTAATGAATGTAAACGAATTTAATATTCTATTTATCGCATACCAAAAATAACGACCGTTTGAAGTGACAAAGACCATTTTTCATTGACAAGCCTATTATATAACCCTAACATTAAGCGTGTGTTAACGCTATGTTTGTATAACGCAAATGACGTCAGGTAAAAAATATATGCACGCCGGTGCAATACCATTTTAAAGAGTCGTAAAATCGGCACGGATATGTGATAATGCTTAAGTTATAGAAAATTCATCACTTAATAATTGTAATCATTCACATTATGCACTAAAGAACGTGCTTGTTTGACCTCTGTTATATTTATCATTGAAGCCGACGTAATTAATATTTCTTAACGATTTAGCTCTTCTGTAAGTCATTTCAATATCATCAAAACAGAAAAGATGTCGTTCAAACTGCAAACGTGTACTTTTTCTCTTCTCGTGATATTAAAACGACAAACAGAGGAGCAAAATCGTTGTGAAAAATCACTTGTGACATGTATCTCATTTATTCAGAAGATCTGACTATGTCCGCTGTAATGATAATTATAACATATCAAGCACGTTCCCTAGTACGCTTTTGTTTAAATAGTAACTTATATGATACTGGCTCTGCCTTTAGATATGCGCAACGACACAATATATTACATTTGTATAATAAAAATTGTTCTAATGCTTATTTAGAACAGAACTATGTTCAGCCTGTTTGCATGTTATTTCAATTTTTTTTCTATCTAAATGTAAAACAAACACGTAGCCAAAGTTTTGATTTTGATTGGTTAAAGAACGGGATTCTCATTTATTTACACACATCAATGAAAATAGATAGCAATCAATTCTTCTAACAAATCGTCACACTAATATTAAATTGTGAAATATCCTCGTTTATCTAGTGTAGCTTTTTTATCTGTCACGTTTGTCATCATAACCGGCAGTTCTTCTTTGAAGTTTCACGTTGTGATAAGCTTACCACATTTTAGAAATGGAACTACGACTTGTATATATCTATTGAAAGCTTTTGGCAAATATTATTTTGTAGTCAGTTTCTATTATTTGTCATGAATTGTAATAAGAAATTCTTGTTATTTGTCATTTAAAGTATGAATCTTTTTGTCTACTCTATAGACAATGATTGTTGCATTATTTGACTTTCTATTTGCAGTAGATAGTATATGTCGTTAACAGTAAAATTCATATGTTAATAGTGTATGTATATGTGAAATGCATGCACTTTATACGACATAAATTGAATATTTTATATAATTGTATCTAAAAATTAACTGATCATACCAAATCCAAAATTTTATAGTTTTGTCTCTAAAAATGAAAATAGTGGACGAAAAAAAAAGATAATAATGAAAATCTTTGTTTCATTCAGTCTGTACATGTAAGAGATAAAGTAAATGCAATAATAGGTTTCATGCGTTGAAACAAAATTAAGTAATTGCAACAACGCAATTATCTTTGAAAAAACATCACGTCAGTTGTCAGTGATATTGACTGAAAAATTACACTTATTGATATATATTAGTTGGTTAATAAGATGTTCCAGTACCCTCACGCAACAGCAATCGATTGTTGAAATATTAACATTAATGGTGAATTAATAAAAACAGTATTTTTAAAATCACAGCGGTATATAACTATATTAAACGCACAATTATTTTCGAATCCCTTTGGACTATACACATATTATAGATGAGAACTTTATTATTGATTGATTAACTTATTGTGTGTTTAAGAACATCGACTTAGAAGAGGTAAAAAAAACACCGATGAATTGGCTTATTTGCGAAATGGAGACTTTTTACTGTAACAGTTATAATATTGTTCATTGTACACAATTTATTTATATTATTAAATCGACTTTATGTAGGGCACCAACATTCCCAACAACTGTAAAATATAAATATACCCATACGTTCAAATAATAAAAAAAATGTTATGTAAGTTTTTTTCAAGAAGTAATATTTTTTCCACTCTTTATATAAGAACATGGTGCATATATTAAGCATCTATTTCATGCACAATGCCATTTCACACAACACAATTATTACAATACTATAGCAATAATGTTACTGTTTATTATTTAGTAAACAAAATTGTTAAACTCTTCCTATTGGCATAAGAATCTTGTTTAAGATACACTCGTTAAATATACTTACCATTGTACATATGTTTATGTGAACAATCAACTATATGTTCGGCAATACGATAGAAATGTTTAAAACAAATAATTAAAGAAATACATGTTTTTTTGTTACTGAAAAGTTTCTCATTATGCACAGCTATGAAATGAGACCTTAATAAATCAAGGTATTCTGCTAAATAATTGGTACAATAAATAGACGAGTGAAAGTCCTCATATAGTTAGTATGGTTTTTCATCATTGCCGACAGATTTTCATTGAAGTAATTCGCTGTTGTATGATAAAACAAATGGTTCTTATTCAGGCACAAAGGAATGCCTTGGTAAAACCACCGACGTTCCGTAAACAAGCTGGAAAGCATTCTAATATGAAATAAAACAAGAGGTGGTTGGAAGTCAACGGTCTTAACCTGTCGGCCCATAGCTCTTTAAGTCTAGTTTAAAACAATAATATAGAATAATTCAGTATCGTTCTGTGTATTATTCAAACATCTTCATAATTTTGTTTTGCAGATCAAGAATGGAATATAAAATTGACAAAGCTGCTCAAACAAGAGCGAATCTTAGTTGTTTAGAAAGAATAGCAAACTATAAGCCACGACAAGGTGAGTTCCTTAAATGTTAACAAAAAATGGTCTTTCTCTCGTTCAGAGTTACTCGAAATGATCATGTAGCATAAAGACATACAGAATATAATGTCAAAAATAAATTTCTAGAATACAACAAACCCATCAGAATTTTGTAGATGCAGTTTAAACAAAAAAAAGTGATTTCAAATGAATTTCATCATGATTTATGTGCTTTTTTGATGACGTATTTATTTTTCTTTCATGATGTATATTCGTATCGTTTTCCTGTTTTATAATATACTAGACAGTAGTTAATGACTTATATTTTCATCAAAATAATGCCTCATATCTTTGATGTTAAAATAGATGCTAATCTAAACAATCTGTTAAACCTTGTTATTTGAAAATGTGAAGCTTCACACCTTGACTCAATTACGTATACTGTTATAGCTTTTACGTTTGATTGAAATTTAAAATCATGAGTGCAGGTGGCTAAAATTTTGAACTGATCTGATATCAAAATATCAATTTAGCGTATAATATATTGATAACAAATTCTAAGAAGTAATGGTGTTTCGGGACTTAGACGTTAGTACTTGATCTATATCTGACAGATACGTTAATATTGTTATAATAATTCTATAGGATGATTGATAACATAAGACACATTTAGTTATTTTCTCCTTAAACGTTTTGAAATATGCGTAATAAAGCTAAAATCTGAATAGCCATAAGTATCATATTGCCTTTTAATGTCAAATTATGTCCGCATTGATAGTTTTATGGAAAAACATCGTATGTAAGAGCCCAAAGTAAACATAATTTTGCAAGAGCCGCTTTTTATACCCATAGTCGTTTTACAACAATATAAATGAATGCCAATGATGATGTTTTGTATACACTCCATCAAACGAATGCCAACTTTTGATCTGTTCTTTTACTGATAGAGTTTGGACAAATTACTCTCATGTAAGGTTAAGACTTACATAGTTATCATTTAGCAATGGCGTGAAATAAATGTGTCACTGACCGAACACGTATTTAAAATATACTAAACACAAATGTAAATGCCATTAAAAATATAAAACACTATGTATAAAACAGCATATATTTTTGGTATCAATACTTTCTTAATAATTCACATGGTAAAGAACACGCTTTCTTTTCTCAATTATGATGTGGTATTCAGGCTTTTTTGTAATTAAAGGATATTGCAATGTGACATGGGATGAACTATTATGTTGGGATGCTACTGCAGCTGGAAGGTTCGCTAGGCAGAAATGTCCATCATATGTTTCAGGCATTAGCAAAACTGGTAAACTTTTTTGACAATTTTTTTATGTTATGGAAGTACAATTGTAAAAAAAACTACATTTTGAAAACAAATGCTATATCAGGTTTACAATTCCGTCTACTTAATTTCTTGTAAAAAATAGCATATCTAATTGAAATTTTGTATATTTAAATTACATTTAAAGGTATTCTGGAACGATCATTGTTACGTTTTCGAAAATTGTGTTCTATATAATGTGACATATATATTAAAATGCTTGATATTGACAGATTTGCTCTCATAATAAACATATTTCTTTTAAAGGATTTGCTTTCCGAGAGTGTGATAAAGATGGATTATGGGTGCATCCTTTCTCTGAAACTAATGAATCAACGGGATGGACAAATTACACCTATTGTTTTATGGAAGATCCAGAGTACGCAGCAATTACGGTAGGTTTTATTTACTAATTTAAAAATATCTTTAATAATAATCATTGTTTCCTCAAGGCAGTCCATCCGTTCATAAACTTTTAATATCGTGTGTCGAAACTTATGGCAATATATGCCGGTGTCTGTTAAATCATCATATTTAGAAACGTGTCATTCTTATTTTGACATACCCATGTATATCAGTTACAGTTTTTGCATAGTTACCATAATGTGTTAAACAACATTTTATCATTTCATATACTCAGTAAATATTTATTTGACTTTACGGATAGAATGTTTATTGTACACAATTTCTGAAATGCAAAAAGCCATCATAACAAGATTATTTACTACGTTGTTACAATATATTCGTCGTCTTCTTTTTATAATTTCCGTAAGTAATCTAGAGTTATTCAATTACGAGGTACAGACATACCTATTATGTTATACTTTATGTTGCAGCATGACCTGACACGAATTAACCTGATGTCAAATGTAGGATACGGTATTTCCTTGGTTTCTTTGGTTATAGCAGTGCTCATAATGTGTCTTTCTCGGTGAGATATAAAGTTTAGAAAATATTCTTATCTCAATATATAAACATTATATTGCACTATACTGCACCTTTGAAAGCAACAATTATGGCACTTAACTAATTTAACGGCATAATTATATACATGAAAATTATTTTCAAAAGAAATAATTTCGACAGAAACCTGCTTTTGAAATGGAAAACATACTAAACTATAATGCTTACTAAATTATAGCTTATGTGTCTTTTTTATTTTATTTTCAGGAGACTACATTGTAAAAGTAACAGCCTACATATCAACCTATTTATAGCATTTATTCTGCGTGCAGTTCTTTCTCTTCTAAAGGATGTCCTTTTTGTATCAGGGCTTGGATTGCATAAAGATGTCAAACAAATTTCCCATGACAAATGGGAGTTTATAGAGGAAGGAATGGTTAGACCATGATATTGATATGCTATTTTAATTGATAATAATAATTTTTGTGACGGTGTTCTTATATAAAACAAGTAGGTTGACAGATTCAAAATACCTAGAAAAGTGGTGTTAATAAGTGAATGATAAAACGTAATTCAATGTATTACATAAATTTAATTTTCCTACTTAACTACCTTCTAAAGTCGTACATAAATAGTTGGCTATGAATGTTGTTTTTCAGCACTGGGAATGTAAACTTATTGTGTCTCTGTTTATGTATGCAGTCGCTGCAAGTATGATGTGGATTTTCATGGAGGGTTTATACCTTCATATGCTTGTTTACAAAACGTTGTTTACTGAACGAACTGGTATTCGAATGTATGTTGTTATAGGATGGCGTGAGTATAATTAAGTAATTAATTGAGAACAAGTAGCTCAGGACATTAAAATTTGAATTTTGCAAATATTGTAAGAGAAATTAATAAAAATGCATTAACTTAACATTGTTTTATACAAGCTAAATTAGAATATATTTTTAAAAGTCATTTAAATAATTAAAGTTACTTATATAAAAATAAAAAGGATTTAAAAACAAAACAATTTTATGATTTATTTTATTTCTGCATTTAACAAACAGATTATGATCACATATACCTAATATTTCCTTCTGGGTTTACGGATGAGATCTGTTATATATATTCTACAGAGCAGAAGTGATAAAACTATAACATTGCTTCTTTATCGTTTACTTACAGTGTCGCCGTTTGTATACATAATTCCTTGGATATTTGTCAGGATATTTGCCGACGACACTCTGTGAGTCATTTCAAACATTCTTGTTTTAAAATAAATTATTATTAGTCTTTACTTACAGATTGAATTTCATACTTAGTCAACAATACATAGTATTCGGGAATTCAAAGTATTATTCAAAACAAACAAGACTTTCATACATTTCGTGAGAAGGTCTCACCAACCTTGCTGTACTTTGGTTTTATAAATTACTGTGGTCCATAACTCTTTATATTTCTGAAAAGCAGCATACTTGTTTCGTTTGTGTTTATATAGTTGCCAATTACGTCGAACAAAGCATGACTAGTTATTTCTAAATTATGTCAGTAAATAAGCAAAATTATTTTTGTTATTTTTTGACAGGTGCTGGAACACAGACGATTTTGGATACATTTGGATAATCAGAAGTCCAATAATATTAACAATTTGTGTGCGTTTATTTCTACAGTTTTTTGATATTGAAAACCTATAATTTATTTTATCGCAAAAGAATATGAAATACAATGTTAGGTTTTTAATTATGAAAGTGAAGTTACAATTTACTGTAATAACATTAATAATGTGCTGCATTGTAACATATTTTTCTTTAATTTAAATCACACTTTCAGTGTGTTCATAGTAAAATGTAGATTATATTATTATAATTGGAAACAGTTTGGATTCAAATTTCCTTTGAACTAAAACAAAATGTATAACTGCCAATGAAGAACCATGGCAACACGAACATACCGTCAGTTTTTTATGTCCAATAACCATGATGTTTACCATTCTTAAATGTTCTAAACAGCTGCGTTTACGCTTGCATTTTTTCAGATAAACTTTGTGTTTTTCATCAACATTGTGAGGGTGTTATGTTTGAGGATGAAAAATCACAGAAATGTTAAAGGAAATAATCAACAAGTTAGGTGAGTTGATATGAAGTTTCGTAATTATTTAACAATTACGAAAATCATTTTCTTTCTTTTATATGGTATAAAATATAAGCCATACAAACCTTTCGGCTTGTCTTGTTATTTTCAGAAGGCTTGCGAAATTTTCATTGGTTTTGATCCCGCTGTTTGGTGTGTTGTACATAGGGACATCAGCATATCCAACGGGCGTTGATGTAAAAGCAGACATGATTTACCTTTACTGTGAAATGTTTTATAACTCATTCCAGGTAATTACACTTGTTGGTGATCTATCATTATACAGCAATGAAACGAAACAAAATGCGTTATGCAACATTGACATTGACAAGTAGTTGGAACGAATATTTTAGACATATTTTATATAAAACATTTCTGTCATGGATAAAATAATGTACTTAAAGAGTTGAAAAAAATATCGGAGATAAGATTTAAAGGTTTAAAAAATAGACAGTATAATATAATATGTTTCTATTATTTTTTAATATGCAAACTGTTGTTTTTTCTTTAAGTAAATTTCATTGAGAAAATTCCTAATATTTCAGGGATTTCTTCTAGCGGTGTTATTCTGCTTTTTGAATGAAGAGGTAGGTTGATGCACTTTGGTGTGTGTATCTTTTTTTGCCAAATACAATATATTTACTCGTTACAGGGTATTTCATTTTAAGAATAACGGAGGTAATAAATGTTTTGGGTTTTCATTAACGATAATGTAGCAATTTATTATTCAATAATAAACACACAAAAGTCATATACGATAACTGTATCAATATCATTGTACCCATTTTCTGATCGTTTATTACATTTTAGAAACTTCCCAATGTTAAGACGATTGTCGCTGTGTATGTGATAACTATTAAATTAAGTCATCGATTATAAATTATAATGGATATATTTCTATTGTGAATTAAATTTCATTCACATGTTAAACAATCTCTGGTTTACACTTAACAATGTTACTAACACTCACCTTGCAGATACTTACTTAAACAATTCATCAGACGTTTAAATATGTTCATAGGTGCACAATGAGATACGCCGGTGCTGGTATCGCCACCGACAGCAAGATAATGTTTTCACGCGCACCTTCACGCTATCCTCCTACAGAAAAGGATCGTGCTTGTCGCATTCCTCTAGTGCCCAGGCAAATATAAGAGGAACTAAAAAGCTTCTTTCAGACAGGCAATTCAAAGACAATATGGATGAGACATCGAAATTTACAGCGTTAAATAGAGGAACGGCAAGTACGAGTTTGAATGGTTCCGAATATGGCAGGACAAACAGATATGACATGGCAAGCGACACAGATCAAATACGACCACTTATGGATTAAATTGTCTTCATGAATGTGATAGCTCGAATTTTTATGCTCGTCAAAAAACCTTTCTGACCAAACACATTTGACTTCGCATAAATACAGTGACAATACTGGTACATATATTTACGTTTTTTGATAATTAAAACTACAACTTGGAAATGCAACAAAATAAATCAAATGACAGTTCATCATGCTGGTTTTATTCTATATACATCATTTTGATAGCTTTCTTTTCTGCATGAAATTTCTTAAAGTACATTGTTAACAAAAGCATCGCAAAATTAGTTATATTTTTCACATGAGGGACTATTATTATTGTCATTTACAATACTTTGCTACCCTACCAAGATTTGATAGTAAATTACAAGGGTAATGACGTAATAAAATAATGTAATTCAATGTAAATATTCTTCATAATTATATAAAAAGTGAATAAAAAGAGTAATTAATTGTTCCGTTTTCGTTCTTTAATTTTGTTATTGCATATAATATTATAATAGAAATAGAACTATTTGCTAAAATGAAATAAAATGAATATACAGTTGTTCCATGACGATTTCTATAAATAATTAGACAAGAATGAAACATATTTTTAATTACCGTCTATGATTGATTCATGTGAAGACGAACAAGAAACATTCGTCCCTATCACGCGTTACAGGTATTGTGTTAGATATGTGTTTAATTATAAAGTAATCATAAATCATGTTTCCCTATTTTGTTATACAGTTGATCATCGTCACTCTTTGCGTATTTTTTTTCTCCATTTTTCCGTCAACGAGTGTATTTCCTGTATTGATTTGTAAATAATATAGTGTGAGAAAAAAGAAAATATTTGATTAAAAATAAGGGGGGTTTTACACTTCGGGACATTAGGGGTCGATAAATTTTGAGATATAGATACTAACTTACTGTTTCCTGAGTGTTTCCGATCAAATTAATATTCTATCAATCATTAGCTTTGAATACGTTTCTGATTTTCAGGCATATAATCTGAAAAAGCAAGACTAGTTATCTAAAAATTTCTGCAAACTTATATATACTGTCCATCCAATATCCGTGGTATACTACGTAATTAAAAAAACGTAAACAGTTAACAAAATATACTTCGTTTTACATATTTTTAAATTTAAATACACATTCACAGAAGCTCCGCTAGACCTCCAAAGACTCCGCCTTACGGACGCTCATTATAACTAACGCTGAGGAAAATTATTAAAGTAAAATGAACATAAACGTATATCATTAACGGCCCATGCTATGACTTAAATCCTTAAATACAAATGGAAGATTCACTCACTATTAAGAGTCGTCCAATCTAAAAAAATATTTTTTGCACGTTAAAGTAAAATAAAACAAATGTCGTTAATAATAAAATAACGATTTCAATGTTTAATTAAAGTTAAATTTAGGATTTTCCGAAGTATTTTTGCCAGTATCAATTTATGCTCTTCAAACAATGAAAACGTTTAATATGGGATGCCTAATGTAAATCAAGACATAATCTGATTGAATATTTGAATCAAAATATAATTGCATAATTTATGTTTTGATGGATAAACATATATTCATTATATAAATATCATTACAAATTTTCGAACAATATGATAAAAAACATAAATTTAGAAAGCAATGCTTATTTGGTTAGTGCTTACCAAAACAACATTATATACACAAAGATGTTATTGGTCGATTCTGTTCTCACAATAATATGCGTTTAAGATTACACACAAAAAAAGCATTGATGCAAAGCATCAAAGGGCGTCCAAGCAAGAAATGCAGCAAGTGAAGATTAACTAGTAGACATATGATGACAATATATTCTTATAAACTACCAGAAATGTAGATCACTTCTGAATGAGCGGACGAAAAACATTGTTCATTATGAACTTTGATTGGCACGCTAGAGATTAGAATATTACTTGTTATTACTTTATGATCATGGTTATTAATAGCAACGAATATACATGTATACAATCAATTATAATCCATATGTGTAACGCATGACCAACACGTACAACACGTTTGTAATTGTCCCTTATTATGTTATCGCTATTAGCGAAGACCCCCTCTTAAGGTATCTGTTCATATGACACTGGTTATATTACCATGTTGATCATGTTGAGCATAATTGTTAATTATACAATAATTGTAATATCTATTAATTTTGATAAAAAAAATACAAATTTTATGAATATTGTTTTCTTTTCTTTTTTTGTGTTTTATGTGCTATTTTAATATTGAGTTTTTACTACTCTGTTTTTATTAAAATTGTAAAATAAATTTTAAGAATTCAATTGACATATTGACAGACGATTATAAGTCAAAACTTAACTGGAAAAAGTCAGTAAATTATGGTTTATCTTTTAATATATAATATTGTTTATTCTTAAACCATGTACATGTACATTTGCATTTTTCTTTTTAATTTTTTAAATTATCAATCAAATGAACAATTCATAAATCTAATTTGTAACTTTGAATAATTCCTCGGCATCTTTACTAAACACGGATAACAAATTAAATAAAATGTTTCAAAGTTGATAATGTCATATTAATACCATAAAAATGTACCTTTTTCTCAATTATTGTACATATTTATTGTTAGATAAAATGAAACATGCTATTGTTGTTGTTTTTTGTTTTTTAATTGTACCGATATCAAACATCTAATCCAAAACCGGGAGAGACCGGACAATAAACGTGTGGTACTATTCGCCGGTCACTAGTAAATCCCGGTCAAAATAGACCGGGAGAGACCGAGAATTACCGACAGGAGTGATAGATAGATATATCTATAAATAGATTTTCGGACTATTGAGGTCATCAACTGACATGTACAACAATAACATACCATGATAACCCACTGTGCACTACAAAATGATAAATAAAAAACCCCGAAGAGCGCGATTAATTGACGGAAAAGCTTATTTAATTTGAAAATGTTTGCATTGCGAAATTCACCAGTTCGCTATTCATTGTAACATATCGCGACATTTCATTCTTAATTAATAATCAAGCACCCTCATACTGATCGGAATGATCAGCTTTTATTATGACCGACTAAAAGGCTCGAGAAGTTGCTGTCGCCCTTTCACAAAATCTGATTTCATTTCATAAGGGCGCCGCGCTTCGGCGCGGACGCCAATAATGTGTCTATTATAAGTCCTAAAACATCCCCTCTGCAAAACCTTATATTATTGATAAAAACATATCAATTAATATTCATTGTTATACTGCAATTAATATAATGAATACTATACTTTTCATATAAAGGCAAGTCTTACAAAATACAAAAAAGTATTAGGCATTGCCGATACCTTAATAAGTGATTGCCGAGCTTACTTCATTTGCTGATATTGACTATTTGTTTTGGTTAAAACAATATTTATTTTCCAAATAGACTATTTGTTTTGTATTGTACGTACTTAAATCTACTTGAATGTTTCATGTTTCCATGTTAATATTTTTAATTTTGAATGAAACAAAAATCTGCAAAATTCACTGCCCATAGCCATATCGATTGAAAAAGTCAAAAGTAATAAAATCGGATAGCAAAAAGGTAATTTATGTTTGGTTAAACCTTTAATATCAAAATTAATTCAATATCAGTCTGATATGATCAAGACGTGCATTCAGACTTTTAATACATAAGTATAAGTATAATTATTATAAGGAATAAACTGAACTATAATTGACGAAATATAAAGAAGCTTAACGTTAATTTGAGATCAATTACATTTATGACAATGGTATACACATATCCGAGAGTGGTTGTAAATTTTGTTATATGTTTACTGTATTATAAAGGTAAGAAAACAGGCTAACTGTGTGTGGATTGGAATGATAAGCAGACATACAGTGAATACATAACAAGTATAATTGATAGTAGTGTCAGCGGGATAACAATCAATCTCCTCTCTGGAATTTTCCATATGGCAGAAACTGTATTATACCACATATAAAAACAAACATCCTTAAAACTTATTAACAATGTCAAATACAGTAATAGATGGCGTGAACCATGACAAAGTTTTATATCTTACATATCGTTTTCGAGTTAAACAAACAGTCAAGAAATAATATTCAATATGACGTGACTAAAACAAGAAATAAAAACAAATGCAATACAATACAATGTATATTTCTTCAGGAACGTACATATATTAAGCCGTGTAATTTTCTATTCAGAAATCTTTCTATAAACGTTACGTGTTCTAGTACTTTATCAACTGTTTAACCATAATTTCACAGTGTGGAAATCGATTTTTAATTTACAATGACTCCACTGATCTTTTTCTGTCGACATGAGGGGATGATTTAATTCCATAATATCATAGATGGTAGTTCATTTGCTCACTCGGTTTTTAAGAAAATTACTTTCACTGTTAAATTGAAAGGGGCATAAATACTTTTATTTCAAATCAGGCCATAAATTGCACTTTATACCGCTTTTCAATTTAACTCTGTGTATGTTTTTACATGTTCTTTTATATTATACGTAGCACGAATCAGTAGAGTATAGGTTATATTACAAATTTCCAGCTTTACTGTTGGAGGAAGACGTCAGGCGCCCTTCCGTGCATTATTTCAGAGACGATCGAGCACCCGAATAGAACCATCGACGTTCCGATAGTTTTCTCAGATGTTTAATCCGACAACGCTTGCGCAGCTTGAACAAACAGTGGCAAGAGGCAATTGGTTTGAAGTTAATTACCTTAACTACTCGGCCACGAGTCTTACCCATTTTAACTTATGCAACACTCACATCCTAGTGTTTAAGCAGCCTATATGTTTCCAGTTCATCATTTAATAAATTCAATTTTATGAATTTTATTTAAAACAATAGGCGCCGATATGTTTACTAAATTTTCAATTACATTAAAATGATGAAATACACTTTTAATTATATAATTAGAAGTCTTTATCAAATCCTTATTATGCCTCAGGAACAAAGATATTGTCATTCTTTAAAAAGGGCAACATTTGATTTAATAACTGTAGAGCATGTTAGGTGCATATCTCTTGAAGAAAGTAGTAATATGTTTGCTTTAATTGGTACCTTATTCACTCAAATATTGCACATCAAAGGTAAGCATTTACCAATAAAGCCCTTAATTATCTTTAGGGTGTTAAAATTAGTAAGGTTATAAATAGTTTGTTTGTTTGCTGTTGTGCTTTTTAAACTATCTACAATGATTAGAAAATATTTTAAAAATTTGAAGTGAAATAGTTTTTTCTGAATAACACCTTAAGGTGTTAGATGTATAATAAACACTTTTTAAAAAGGCATTTAAAACTTTATATTAATGAACGGTCCCATATTCTGCACATAAATAAATACCAAAACTACAAAAGTTTACCATCTTGTTTGAAAAATATTGACCATTGAATATCAGTTTTATACAACAACAAAGAATATGTTTTCATTATCAGAAGAAAAGTTTTGCTAGGT